CCCCACGAAATCGAACTTGCTCAGGATCTGGTGGTTCAAAGCGTCCTTACGAACTAAGCACTAAGAAAGAAGGAGAAGTCGTTGCAAAGCGCCTCTCACTAAACGACTTATCGCTGAGGATTCCTGCGAGATTCTCAGGAGGGTGAATTCGACCCTGAGACCCAGGAGGTCTCGGGGTTAAACGTTTGGGCCGCCCTACCGACACGTCTGGGGGTGCGACACAGATGAGCTACTGCTAAGAGCGAGGCATGGCGGAGGAGGAGGAGGAGGAGGAGGAGGAGGAGGAGCAGAAGGACGAGGAGGAGGAGGAGGAGGAGGAGGAGGAGGGGGATGAGGAGGAGGGATGGGATAGCGGAGGAGGGATGGCGGAGGAGGAGGAGGAGGAGGAGGAGGAGGAGGAGGAGGGCCATGGGCCGCTCCTGGGCAAGCTGGGAGGTGCGCTGGGTCACTGGCTGACCGCGAGGTCCTGGATAACCCGTGCCTGCGCGAGGGAGTCCGCGGCGGCCGAGGGGCCGTCGGCGGCGCCTTGGCTGTCGGAGGAGCGAACGTGAGGAGCAGGGAGGAACAGGCATGGAGGGCAGGGAGCATGGCCATGGCGGGCCGCCGCGAGGACCACCCGCCGAGGCAGCTGCCGGCGGTACTGGCGATTGGGAGCTCCGTAGTGCCGTCCGAGGGGACCGACCCCCCCCCCCCTGCGCCGCTGCCCCGCCTGCGCCGCCTCCCGCTTCCTCCGGGCACCCCGCACGGCGCATCTCTACCTCATCGATCGGTTCGACGCCGATGTCGGCCCGTCCGGTCCGATCCGGCCTTGACGCCCCAGCGATCCGAGGCGGCCCGAGGCTCACGTGGGGCGCTGTTGCGCATCCTGTCGCAGCCGACCCGAGTGGAGGAGGCCGACTCCGTGCCGACGCACATCTTCGACTCCATCCGACTTCCCGATTTGACGCCGACGGACTCTGCCCTGCCCTCGGGTGCGATTTGGGGCGCCGCGGGCGTTCTCCCCCGTTCTCCCCTGGTCGGCCCTGGCTCGACCACGACGTGAAACCACGGAACGTCACCCCAGGAAGGGGGCGTCCCGCAGGCGGCTTTCTGTGAGACCTCAAGCCGCATCGCAGACATCAGCGGCAACGGACAAACGTTGGCAGGTGTGCCGCGGGCCGATCCTGGACCCGAAGACGTAACAAAACCAGCGCGCAAGGCGGACGGAGCACGCCGATCTTGAACGCGGACCCTGACCCCCCCCTCTGGCTTTGAAAAACATGTCCCGATCGGCACTCTACGAAGCGGTCGCTCCACGCATCGTCGCTCTTCCAGCGGCCCGCGGTCTTCCGTCGTCGATCGGTCCTGGGTCTTGGCATTCCCGACCTCCCACGACTGGGTACCCGGCCGAGGCTTTGCTTTGGAGGACATCCCGCACGAAGTCGCAACTTCCCGGTGGCCCGAGAAATCCTCCGGTCGCCCTGAGAAGAATGCGAGCGCCCCCGATCGAGGGGGCCCGGGACTGGAACGCTCTTCAAAGCGTTTTGGAGCGTCCTGGAAGGAGCCGTGGCGCCCGATACATCCTCGTGAGCCGCCAGATCTCGGAGGTCGCCGCTGTATCCCAGTCCGATGCTGTCGCTCTGGCCTCGTCTTGCCCGAGGGGTCGCTTCTGAGCACACTCGGCGTCGGAGCCTGGCCTCGTCTTGCCCGAGGGGTCGCTTCTGAGCACACTCGGCGTCGGAGCCCACGTGTTTGGCCACCCAGCGGGCTCGCGATCGAGCCCGTTCGGCGGCCGAGCGGGCTCCATTCCCCCCGCGGGGTCGGCATCGGGCCCGTTCGGCTGCTCTCATCGATCAGAAGGGGGCCCCGGGGCGGGAGGAGGAGGAGGAGGAGGAGGAGGAGGAGGAGGAGGAGGAGGAGGAGGAGGAGGGAGGAGGAGAGGAGAGACGAGTATGGGAGGAGGAGGAGGAGGAGGATGAGGAGGGGAGAGGAGGAGGAGGAGGAGGAGGAGGAGGAGGAGGAGAGGAGGAGGAGGAGGGAGGAGGAGGAGGATGAGGAGGAGGAGGAGGGGGAGGGGGGGGAGGAGGCGAGGAGGGAGGAGGGGGAGGAGGAGGAGGAGGAGGAGGAGGAGGAGGAGGAGGAGGAGGAGGCGTCGGCAGCCGAAAGGAAAGAGCAGCGCCCGGATCTCGGAAGACCTGGTGCGCAAAGACTGCCACCATGTGGCGCAGCGGCACGGCGGTAGGGCCAGCGGTGGCGCCTCCGCAGCCGACGGGCTGGGCCGTGGCAGTTGCAGTGCACGGTCGGTGAGTTGAGTTTAGCGCGTCGCTCCGCCGGCTCTGGCCCACCACGCTTCGGCGCGACACGCGATCCACCTCGCGGTCCCCGGGCGTGAAAGTCCCGAGCGTTTCCGAGCCTCCCGCCCCGCGGAGCGGAGCGACACACTGTCCGCTCGCAGGGCACAGCGTGCCGCTGGGGCCGCCGCTGCGACCTGCTACGCAAAGGTTCCTGACCGTCGGCGTCGCAAGAGCGAGCAGCTCATCACGATGTGCCGCCCCCGACGGCCGCACGGTGGACACAGAAGATCACACCACGGCGACTGCACCGAGGGGGATACCCCAGCAGGGCACGGGCGCATGCTGCCCAGACTCGGGGGCCGCCGAAGCGGTGCGGTGCGCACACCGTGCCGGGAGTGTCGGCGGACTGCGCAGCTCCGGTGCTTTTTGGCCGTTCTCCAAGGATGCCTCGGGCGGCTGTGGCCTCGGAGGGGTCCCGCAGCCGTGCGGTGACATATCGGTGCGGTGAGGTCGTTTGGGGGATCTCGGGCGGGTGGTAACGGGGGGGGATCCAACTCGGGGGGTGAAGAGAAAGGGCCCACAGGGACCTTTTCGGGCTCCTTTGGGGCACCAGCTGGCCCCGCCCTTCAGGGCCCATCGAGGGCCTTGCTCGTCACGCCCCACGGCGGCTGGAGCACTGGCTGCGGCTCAGAGGAGGAACAGGGTACCCATACCGCTACCCTTGCATCGTTTTCGCAGTTTGGGGGCCTCCTGGGAGGCCCTCGTCGCCACCGCTGGACTCGCCTCGAAATTCTGGTCAGAACGCACCCCAGGAGAGGTTCTGGGAGTAGCGGTATCGGTACCTTCGGGTTTCCCCTGCGGCGGGGGGTGTTCTCTTTCGTGACGAGGGCTCTGGGGCCTGCAGAGGCCAGGCGACGAACCGACAGGCAAACTCTGAATATCTGCTCGCAGTGGTTGCGCCAGGGGCGCTGGAGCTCCCGGTGGTCGAGGACCCTTTCGCGCTAGAACTCCTCCGCCCTCCTCCCTCTTCCTCTTCCCGTGTCCTCCCGCCTCCTCCCTCCTCCTTCCGCCTCCTCCTTCTTCCTCCCTCCTCGTCTCTTCTTCTCCTCCTCCTCCCTCCTCGTCTCTCCTCCTCCTCCTCCTCCTCCTCCTCCTCCTTCTCCTCCTCCTCCTCCTCCTCCTCCTCCTCCTCCTCCTCCTCCTCCTCCTGCTCCTCCTCCTGCCTCCTTTTCCCGCCTCCTTTCGCCTATTCCCCACCCCTCCTCCTTCTCCCTTTGCTCTCCTGCTCCCTGAGCAGGCCGGGCCCGCCCGACGGGACAGGATGTCTGTCGCCGAGTCCCTGATGTCCGACGACAGCTTCCACCCGCTCGCAAGCGCTGACCTTCTCAAGGCTGGACGATCCAGCGACGACGTCGTCACAGCACGAGCCTGCTCGACATACATCTTGCACTTCATGTCACGGTAAGCGCACGTTGCCACTCACGATCAGCAATTCGGCGTCCGTTCTTTGATGACACTGCGGGGGCGGAACCATACAGTCAAAGCGCAGAGTAAGGATGAGCAGCTGTCCAAGCTTACCCTTGCATCCTTGCCCCTTCGGCCCATCCTGGGCAGCTTTCGCTGGCCGCGCCCTGCTCGAAAAGTGTCGACATGGCCTTTCAATGGCCCTTGCATCCTTATCGCGCATCCTTCTCATACGCGTTGACTGTACAGCCGAAGCGCTGCTCACGCACGCGGCGTTTCCCGTGCTGGCGGAAACGAGAAAGGGGTGCTGCCGTCTGGCTCCACACGGTTCGGCCCACGGCGCAGGGTTGACGCCATGACGAGGGGCAGTTTGCACCTGAGGCACTTCGTTCCTCCATTCGGCGGCCCTATCGTTCTTCGGTGAACAACAACAACAACAACAACAACAACAACAACAACAACAACAACAACAACAACAACAACAACAACAACAACAACAACAACACCAACACCAACACCAACACCAACACCAACAGCAACAGCAACAGCAACAACAACAACAACAACAACAACATTAGCATATCATTTCGGAGTTTCGCGCGGATTTCTTGGATCGGCGCTGGAGCCCCTGGCGGCGCCTCTGGCGCCGCCCCTGGCTCCCTCAGCGCGCAAGGGAGGGTGGTCCAGCGCAGATGCAATATATCCGCGCGGACCTGCGACAGTTTCTGTTCATGCCGTATTTTATTTTCCCCGGGGGCAGGCAGCAGACATGTTCCGTTTTGCAGCGCATCACCTTCCCTTGAGTCCTTATCCTTCAGTTCCTGTCTTACCGTGTTGATGGTTTCCCTGCGAGCTCTACTCGAACCACCCCGCTCAGAGGAAGGAGGTCACGACAACCAGGGGGAGGAGAGAGCGACACGGACATCGGCCGAGGGGTCGAACGTGAGTTCCTGACGCCCAGCCCGCGCCCGATCCCGCCAGACCGACCAGCTCCGGGGCGACTCCGCCAACGAGCGCGGAGCACGGACAACACTCCGCAGTCAAAAGCGCCGCCTGCGGCGGGCCCTGGTGGCAGGCAGGTCGCACGCGGCTCGGGCGAGTCGCGGGCGCGCGTCGGCGCGGGCGCCGGGCCGCGGACGCGGGTCGCGGAGGGGCCTCGCGGGCGTCGCAGGTGCGGTGCGCGGGGACGGGCCGCGGGCGTGGCCCCCGGGCGCGTGCGGACCGCAGGCTGGCCGCGTGCGGGTCGGGTCGGCCGCGGGCGCGGGCCTGGCGCGCGTGACGTCGCAGAGGCGGGTCGCAGGCGCGGCCTGCGTGCCCGGGTCGCGGGCGCGGGGCCGCGAGCAGAGGTCGGCGCGGGCGCGGGAGGCGGGCCGCGGGCGCCGGCCACGGGCTCGGGGCGCGGGCGGTGGTCGCGGGCTCGCGGCGGGTTCGCGGTTCCCGTGGGCGGGCCGCGAGCCGGAGGATGAGCAGGCAACGGACGGATCGACGAGGATGATAGCACCGCCGCTCGTCTGCAGAACTGTTAGTCTTCGTATTCTTCTTCGTCTTCTTCGTCGTGTTCTTCTTCTTCTTCTTATTCTTATTATTATTATGATTATTATTATCATTATCATTATTATTATTAATATTATTAGCTTGAGCCTCTTTTTTGGGGGGGGACCGGGGCCCTTTCTCCTTGCACGCTATGGATAATTTGCGTGGGTCCGTCAAGACGAAGAGGGGCGCAAGATGTAGGCTGACAGCTGAGCCAGGTTTCTTCAGCCCAGTCGCCTCTCAATCCCACTGGCTACGCTCGCAGCTATTCGCTCTGTGGTACCAGGTCCCTTCGCCCCCGCATGCGCTCGAGGCTTCGGGCGCCCCGCCCCCCCCCACGCTTCGGACTCCCCCCCTGTGCTTGGCTTGTCCGTTTGTGGGGGGGTTCTCCCTTTCCGTGCCCCGCAGCCAAGCACCGCCCTGTCCAGCCGTTCGCACGGCGTCGCTTCGCGTGGCGAGGCCTCCCCCGCCCGCCTCTGAATCTGCCGCCTGGCCAGCCGGCCAGCCAGCCAGCCAGCCAGCCAGTCGAGCCAGCCAGCCAGCCAGCCAGCCAGCCGCCAGCCAGCCAGCCAGCCAGCCAGCCAGTCAGCGAGCCAGCCAGCCAGCCAGCCAGCCAGCCAGCCAGCCAGCCAGCCAGCGCCGCCGCCGCCGCCGCCTCCGCCGCCTCCGCCTCCGCCGCCGCCGCCGCCGCCGTCGTCGTCGTCGTCGTCGTCGTCGTCGTCGTCGTCGTCGTCGTCGTCGTCGTCGTCGTCGTCGTCGTCGTCGCCGTCGTCGTCGTCGTCGTCGTCGTCGTCGCTGTCGTCGTCGTCGTCGTCGTCGTCGTCGTCGTCGTCGTCGTCGTCCTGCCGCACGGCCGCTCCCTGGGCCCCCGTGCAGAGGCCCTGGGCGCGGGCGCGCCGCCGGCCCCCGCCCACGGCGCGCCGAGCGAGCAGGCGGCGCCGAGCGAGCCGGCCGCGCCGCCCCCCGCAGCCCCGCAGGCTCCCGCAGCCCGGACCCCCTGGTTCGATGCTCGCTTTGGGGGAGCGTCCTGGTGCTCATCTAACGCCTCTGGTGGGCTCCACTGCGACTCGAGTGTTCGACTCAGGTTCGACTCGGGTTCGACTCAGGTTCGACTCGAGTCGACGGACGTTGGACGCAGCTTCGACGCTCGAGTGGAGGGAGTGGCTCCAAGAAGGTCCCCCGAATGAGCAGCTAGTCCTCGAGGCACGAAGAAACCAGGGCGGTGTTTCGCTGGTTTCAGCCTCTTTGAGGGCCCGGCACGAGCCTCGAGGCCCTCAAGCTCGGCTCAGGATGATGAGGAGCCGGTCCGGGGGGATGGGTGGAGACCTTTGGGTCGGGGAACAAACAGTGACATAAACATAACCGCATCCCCCGGATATTAACGCATTTCCCCTTTGTATCCCTTTGTCCACGGGGTTGACTGCTGGTCCAGTTGCCAGAGCAGGCGCGGAGGCCGAATTCTACGCTCCCCTGAGAAGTTCCAGACGCAGCTCTGGTCTTCATCTCATGCATAGCACCATGGACACTCCGTACTATCAGTTTGAGCCTGTCTTAGGCGAAACGCGCAGGTTCGAAGAGTTGCCGAATTCGCTATTATTCGTGGTTCAATGATGTCTCAAGCAAGACGCTGTTTTTTGTAAAAGGCATTGTCGCGAACATGCCATTTTTGTAAGTATGCCTCAGGCGAAGCTCACATTTCCGAAGATTCGCTGAGTTTGCGACGATCAGTTGTTCGACGAGGTCTCCAGCAGGACGCTTGTTTTCGAAAAAGGCAACTGTCGCGAATCCTCCAGGGAAGCTCCCCGAGAGGATCCACTGTACCAGTTTACCGTACTATTTCACAGGAGTTGTGATCACCCCACATGTCCAAAGAGGCTCCACGAGAGGGACCAATGTACCATTTCACCATAGTCTGTCACAGGAGTTGCGTGCTTTCCACATCTCCAAAAAGGCCGCCTAGAAGGACCATGGAGGCTCTTGACGACAGAGCTTGACGAGCGACCCAGACACCCTAGCATCGGTATCTCCGTGGGAAAAGTTTCTTATCCCGCCTGGATCCCGAACTCGACTATCCCCAGAGGTCCGCGCGACTTTCTCAGCTCGGCGCTGGGCCCCCCTCCCTAGCGCGCGGAGCGCGCCAGGGGCGGTGCCCGAGGCACCGCCAGTGGGCCCCCAGCGCCGATCCGAGATGTCCGCGCGGAGCTCCCAGGGTCTTGTGCTTCTGGCATTACCAGTGGAGACCCATGCCAAGAAAAACACCCTGCTTGCCTCCAGGGTGCCGAGTTTCTTGGGTTTCGATGGTGTTTCTCTGGAGAGCGTGATGCTCCCACACCAAACATCGATAGACGTCCTGGGGTCTCAGGGTCGGGTTCCTTGCTCCCCGACCGGGGGTCGACGATCGACGCTGTGAGCAAGCCCATGACGTCGGGGGTCTGAGAGGCCCAGGGCAGCGGCGCGCCGCCGCCGGCGGCCCCGGACCCGCCCCTCCCGGCCGCGCCGCCGCCGCCGGCGCCGCACGACCCGGCCGCGTCGCCGCCCGCCCCGCGGGCTCCCACGAAGGTGGGGCGGCGAGATCTGTATCAGGAGGGGCAAAAACACACACAGACACTTTTCATCGTCGATCCCCAGGGAAATCTGGGAAAATATGGGAAGTGGGGGGGAAGACGAAAAGCCAAAAAACGATTGGAAATTATTTCAGTGCGACCCTACCTAGGAGTTGGAGCCTCTAGGAAAGCAACATTCGTAGGAGCGGTAAACGCCGTCCTCCTCCTTCTCCTCATCGTCGTAGTTCTAGCAGTAGCGGTAGTAGTAGTAGTAGTAGTAGTAGTAGTAGTAGTAGTAGTAGTAGTAGTAGTAGTAGTAGTAGTAGTAGTAGTAGTAGTAGTAGTAGTAGTAGTAGTAGTAGTAGTAGTAGTAGTAGTAGTAGTAGTAGTAGTAGTAGTAGTAGTAGTAGTAGTAGTAGTAGTAGTAGTAGTAGTAGTAGTAGTAGTAGTAGTAGTAGTAGTAGTAGTAGTAGTAGTAGTAGTAGTAGCGTAGTAGTAGTAGTAGTAGTAGTAGTAGCGCCAGAACCGCCGACGCCACGCCGTAAGTGAAGCAGCAGCAGAAGCAGGCAGCAAGTCGCCGAGACAGCAGCAAAAGCAAGCAGGCACGGAGATGAGGGCGGGGCACTGGGGAGTTCTTTACATCTACATCTATATCTACACCTACATCTACATCGACACCTACATCTACATCTAGACCTACATCTACATCTACACCTACAGCCTACAGCTACATCTACTACACATACATCTACATCTACCTCACATCTACATCTACATCTACACCTACATTACACATCTACAACATGCATGGAACATACGTGCGCACGCACACATATAAGTACATATATACATATATATATATATATAGCAGCAGCAATAGTGGATGCTGTGCTGCTATGCTATGCTATGCTATGCTATGCTGCTATGCTATGCTATGCTATGCTATGCTATGCTGCGCAATGCTATGCTGGGCTAGGCTATGCTATGCTATGCTATGCTATGCTATGCTATGCGCTATGCTGCGCTATGCTATGCTATGCTATGCTATGCTTTTGCTTTGCCTTCGCTTTTGCCTTCACTTTTGCCTTTGCTTTTGCTTGGCACCCAGGGAGCGCAACTGGGGGAACCGCGCGTTTGCTTTTACCTTTGCTGTTGCTTTTGCTTGGCTCCCAGGGGACTGGGGGAACCGCCCGGGGCGATTTCCATTGCCCGGCCCCTTGAAGCCAAGAGAGTAAGAACCCTTCTAGGCAGAGCCCAGGTAGGGAAATATGGGGAATCTGGTTATCTGTGTCCATTTATTTGTGTGGCCCAGTTCCTTTTCACTGTAGGGGTCCACGGGCCGGCGGCAGTCGTGCGCCGTGGGCCCCACGGCGGGCGGGCCCCCCTCGCGCCTCTGACGCCGCGCAGCTTCGTCTAGGAGAGCTGGTTTTTGGTCGGTCCGTCGTTGGTCCCGCGCTCTTTTCCTCAAGCGGTGGCGAAGCGTCCTGGCTCCCCTATAGCCCCACCAAACAATGTTCTAATATCTTTTTGTGGTTTACACGAAATGTTCTTAGAACATTTCTGGGTTCTAAGAACATTATCCCAGTGCGACCCTACCTAGGAGTTGGAGCCCCTAGGCAAGCAGCACTGGTAGTAACAGTAAAGCTAAGCTAAAGCTACGCTGAAGCTAAGCTAAAGCTAAGCTAAAGCTAAGCTGAAGCTAAGCTAAAGCTAAGCTGAAGCTAAGCTGAAGATAAACTAAAGCTAAGCTAAAGCTAAGCTGAAGCTAAGCTGAAGCTAAGCTAAAGCTAAGCGAAACGCTAAGCTAAAGCTAAGCTAAAGCTAAGCTAAAGCTAAGCTAAAGCTAAAGCTAACGCTAAGCTAAAGCTAAGCTAAAGCTAAGCTAAAGCTAAGCTAAAGCTAAGCTAAAACTAAGCTAAAGCTAAGCTAACACTAAAGCTAAGCTAAAGCTAAGCTAAAGCTAAAACTAAAGTTAAAGCTAAGCTAGAGCTAAGCTAAAACTAGGCTAACGCTAAGCTAAAGCTAAGCTAAAGCTAAGCTAAAGCGAAAACGAAAGCGAAAGCTAAAGCTAAAGCTCCCAGGGGACTGCGGGAACCGCTCCCAGGGGACTGGAACCGCCCGGGGCGCTTTCCACTGCCCGGCCCCTTTAAGCTAAGAGAGTAAGAACCCTTCACGGCAGAGCCTAGGTATGGAATTTCGTGGTAGGACTATAGGAATGCCGGGACGGTCGGTCCCCCGCTCTTTTCCATCTCTTCGAGGCGAAGGTAAGAGAAACCTGTCCACCGCGGCTGGGCAGGCCCAGCCGGGGCCCAGGAGCGGTGCCCAGAGACCCACGGTGATGGAAGAAACAAATTATCCCAGTGCGACCCTACCTAGGAGTTGGAACCCCTAGGAAAGCAGCATTAGTAGTAACAGTAACGCTAAGCTAAAGCTAAAGCTAAGCTAAAGCTAAGCCACAGTTAAGCTAAAGCTAAGCTAAAGCTAAGCTAAAGCTAAGCTAAATCTGAGCAGCAGCTAAGCTAAAGCTAAGTTACAGCTAAGCTAAAGCTAAGCTAAAGCTAAGCTAAAGCTAAGCTACAGCTAAGCTAGAGCTAAGCTAGAGCTAAGCTAAAACTAAGCTAAAGCTAAGCTAAAGCTAAGCTAAATGGTAAGCGAAAAGCTAAGCGAAACGCTAAGCTAAAGCTAAGCTACAGCTAAGCTAAAGCTAAGCTAACACTAAAGCTAAGCTAAAGCTAAAGCTCCCAGGAGACTGGGGGAACCGCGGGGCGGGGACTGGGGGAACCGCCCGGGGCGCTTTCCAGTGCCCGGCCCCTTTAAGCTAGAGAGTAAGAACCCTTCTAGGCAGAGCCTAGGTAGGGAATCAATGCGGAGGTGTTTTGCCGTTCTCGGCCTCTATAGAGGCGGAGGAAAGGAGGAGGAGGAAGAGGGGGAGGAGTAGGAAGACAAAGAAAAATAACACGAATACTAATAATGGTACGAATAAGAAGAATCCACATCATCATACTAACAATTATTGGCAATACTTAAAGGAATAAGAGTATTAATAATAAGTAGAATAAGACGACTAGATATAACAATAATATGAGGAATTGTAGTATTACTAATAAGAAGCATCATAAGAAGAGGAGGAGGTGGAGGAGGAGGAGGAACAGGAGCTTGACTAGACTGCATGTCCGAAGCACTTGGGCCCCCTTCCCGACCAAGCGGTCCAATGGCTGTGTGCGTGAGCTTTCCGAGCCAGAGTGGTCCTGATGCTTGGAAGGAATGTCTCACGAATATGGAGGCCAACCTGTGCGATCAGATCGATGTATTTGATCAGCAGAAGGGGTCGGCATTGTGGTCGGGCAGAGGGTGTTCAGAGAGTGCCAGTGCAGCTCCATCAGATACTCCACAAGAAGTGGTATGCCAACAGCACCCCTACCTTACGGTCTTGGAAGTCACTGCTCAGTCTGGTAGGACGGGTGAATGCGTACTGGGGCAATCCTAGGGGCTTCGGAGCTGGGTGCCCGAACGACACCGTAGGTTACCTTGAGGAGCTACATCAGGACCTCCTGGGTCCTGAGTTTGATGAGCTGGAGTTCGATGTCCATGTTTCTTTTCTAGAGGTTTCCCAACTTGGAGGGAGTGAGTTCGCACAGCAAGTCCTTGGGGTGTCTGAGGTTGCTAGCGATGTTATCTCCAGGGAGTCTAGGAAGCGTTGGAAGAAGTGGCAAACCTGGGCTCAGGACTCGGGGTCGTTCAGGGTATCGTTCGGCCCACATATACTTCAAAGATCGCAAGCAGGTCAATCCCCAGTCGGATGAGCAAGGCTCTGGGAAGCGCCCCCCACCAGGCCTCCATGCTTCCACACAGCGGTTGTGCTTACTGCAAGCCAAAGAGTGAGAACCTTCGCCCACGCAGGGCAAAGGTTCTCACTGGGTGAGACGGTTGGGCGCGGCTCCGATCGGATCTCAGCAAGCAGCGGGAGCAGGAATACAATTGACAATGTTTGGCAGTTCTGGGGCACTTCTGGTGAGTGTGATGCTGCTGGTTGTGAGTGTAGCATGTACAACCAGTTCGCTTAGATAGGTCACTATGACACTGACGTGTTGTTCTTCGTTCTCTCGAAGCTCTATCACCGCATCTCCCACGACCACCAGTTTGAGAAGGGGAGAAACACTGGCTTGCCCACTCGGCTTCTCGATTTGGCAAGCCAGCTGTCATCAGGACCAGGACGCTTACGCTCCAGAGTGTTATTTCCGCGGTGTTCTGGATCAGTGGGACAGTTTTGGCAGGGTGTTCCTTGGTGGTCGCAATCTCCCTGGCTAACAGACTCCCTGCTGTCCTGGTCAGTAATGTGGTAGATGATGTGCATGTCCAGCATATCGGTAGTCGGAACTTGGTTGCCCAACAGTGACGTGAGGCAGGCAAGGTCCCGGCTGCCGGGTTCGAGAGGCTGGAGCTCATCTTCTCTGAGATGGACATCCCGCCACATTGCTTCATTGATCGAGCTAGCCAATAACTAATTCAGCATGTGGCACAACCAGCTCTTCTCGCGCACCTTCTCCGCGAAGTCCCCCGGCACTGCTCACTCGAACAAGAGGCGAGTGATGACCGCGGCGGCCAAGCGCATCGGGGAAGGCTTCAAGAGTTACTGGAAACTGCTCAAGCTGAAACGCGCGGTGCCGAGGTGGGCAGCAGTCAGAGAGCGGGGCCTCAGGCGACGGCCCTCTGGGGGGCTGCCGCGGTGGGTCTTTCGGGGGGGACAGCTCCATCCCCTGAGAGGGGCCGCCCTCAACAGCATCCGCACAAGAGCAAGAAGGGCACTTCGGCAAGACTGACGCTTGCCGCCATCCGAGAAGGGAAGGGTCATGGACCTGCAGAAACTGTATCATAGCCAGATTGTGGGGCTTTGGGAACGGGCGGTTTGGCGTGGAAGGCCTCCCCTCAGCATCCTTGAGCGCGGCAGCTGCTGACCTCGGCCAGGCCGTTAGGCCGAGTCCAGCCCGCGTTTGCCTTCGAACGTTGCAGCAGATTGGATGGTCGGCCACCCCGGCTGCCGCGATAGCACCTGATACAGGAAAGTCGATGCACCCTCGCAATCTTGGGCCCAAGCAGGTCCAATGGATGGCTGCTCGCGCGGCCAAGAGCTTGTCAAATGTCATGGCGCTCGTTAGGATAGACGATGATCAAACATGGGTCCGACCCATCTTTCGGCGGCCCCAGGTTCATCTCCTGGAGGCAAGAATCTCCGGCACCTGGACCGGACCACACAAGGAGAGCCTGCGGTCTTTAAGTGCCCAACAAAAATGGCGCCGGGCCAAGCAGTATAGGCGCGGCAAGTCTCAGACGGATCGTTGCCCGCTGTGCCCGAAAGCTGTAGGTACACTATGGCACCGTAGTTCCATTGCTCCCATTGGGCAGTAGAGAGAGGGCGGGCCATCCCACCCTCGGTTCTTAAGGCGGCCTCGATTATGCAAATCGCAGGCCAAGGCCCCGAGAAGGCGGCCTCGGGTCTTTTGCCATTCCTCCATGAGTTGGTCTCTCGCCACTTCTCGATCTCGGAGGCGAGGCTGCGTGGATCCGTCGGCCTGAAGGGGGGGTCACTCTGGGAAGGTATTCACGGACGGCTCCGCCCTTTTCCCGACGTTTCCCATGGCCAGGCGAGCTGGCTGGTGCCTGGTCATGATTTGGGGACGGCGAACACATTGTCGTTGATGTGTATCGGGCCGCCCCCTGGGAGTTAGCCCGCTTCCAAGTGACCAGCGACTGCGAGGACGCGGCGCTACTGATGGCCGCTTCTACGCGGACTGCCACGGCACTGTGGATTATATTAATGAGCCGTTGTTGGGATGTAAAGCCACCAGCCTCACATAACATAGCTGGGAGGAATTCCACAGACAGCTTCCAATATGCAGGGCGATCAAGGTGAAGGCCCACCTGCCGTTCGAATCGGTATCAAAAGGCATAATATCGTCCTGCGAATGGTCGGGCAGCAAGGCTGCTGACCACTATGCTGGCCTTGGCGCCGCACTGCACCTAGACGCCTCCCCTGCGACGAGCCAGCTCGAAACCATCGGCCAACTGGCCAAGGTGGTAGCCTAGTGGGCCGCTTCGCAAGAGGTCATGATGGCCGTGCGCGAGACCTTCGACTCTCTCCCCTTTCCTTCGTTGGAGGGGGGGCTGGTGGCGGGGTCGGGCAAAGGGGGCGGCGCCAGTGCCAGAAGGCCGCGAGTCAGCCGACCACGGCGGCAGAGAAGACCTCCCACTGACGCTGAGAAGGAAGAACTCAGCACATATCAAGCCCTGCAAGGCCATGCGCTGGTGCAGGCACCTGTCTACATGGCTTCGGTGCTTCCGCTTGGGCCCGACAAAAGCCAGACAGTGTTTGCATGTCTTTGTGGTGGGGGGTACGCCTGGGGTGGCATCTCGCCATTGGGGCGTCCCTCCGAGGGGGCGCCCCCCACGATCACACTCGGTCGTCAGGAGACGCGGGCGTCCGAGCTGAAGTTTCCCTGTGGGTCCGCCAGGTACAGGGGCTGGACGAATGGGAAGTGGCTGCCCCCCGTCCCCGCAGGCAATCGTTAGCCGGCCCCGAAGAGGCCCGCCTTGCGTTTGAAGCTCAGCCCCGCGAAGCACGTCGGCCAGCCGCCGATGAAGAGTCTCCTTTGGCCCCAGGCTGGTAGTCTGAGTGAGGCTACCAATATCGTGCATGGGTCGTTGCCCTTCTGTCCTTTGAATGCCCCAGGCGCCTCGGTCATCGATGAAGGCAAACAGAGAAGGAGGCGGAGGAGGAGGAGGAGGAGGAGGAGGAGGAGGAGGAGGAGGATACAGGACCTCGCCACGCTCTGGGGCCACCGAAAAACGATTCAGGATGAAAAACTAGTCCCTGGGAGTGGGTCTAGACTTCCGGGGCCCCGTATGGAACAAAAATCGAGATATCGGATCTGGGTGTATATGCTTCGCTGGCTGAGCCAGGGAGCGTCGCACGTCGGACGGGGCTAGGAGCTAGGACTTGGATGAAGCCGTTCCAGAGCGTCCTGGAACGCTCGCAGAGCGTTCCGGAGCGCTCTGGGAAGGCCGCGGCGCTCGAGAGATCCTCCAGAGCCGCCGGATCTCAGAGATTCTCGTTTCATCCTCACCCGATGGTCTTCGTCCTGGCTCTTCTCAGTGTGCACCGCTCCTGGACGCATGATGGGCCTGCGGTGGACGTGTACAGATCTTGCCGCCCTGGAAGGAGGGGTTCGTGCCGCCGGCGGCGGCCCCTGGGCCGCCGGTCAGGGCGGGCGCAGCGCTGCTGGCGCCGCCCACCAAGGAGCCGCGGCAGAGGCCGCCGGCGACGGGCCTTTCCGGGCTTCCCCTTGGTTCGTCGGCGAGCGAGGGGGAGAGGCGAGGAGGAGGAGGCCCTCTCAGAAGGCGGCGGGGCTTCTCAGGTTCTGAGAAGTGTTCTGCGTCCTCGGGGAAGGCTTAGAAACTGTTCAAAAGGCCCAGAGTCTTCCGAGCCTTCCGAGGAGGCCCTCCACTTCTCACTCCCCCCCGGGCTCGCCGCCGATTGGCTGGTCTGGTCAGCCTGGTTGCACGCCGCAGCAGTACGCCGGCCGCGCGGGATGCCGAAGAAGCGCATAAAGCATAAACATGACATACATGTTTGGAGCTCACCTCCGGAAGTGTTTGGTCAGGCCGTTCTGTGTTATTCAACAACCCTCCTCGAAATCAAAAGCAACTCGTTTCCGCAACTTGGCGGCGCCCCCGCACCCCACAGTTGAATGTCAGCGTCGAAGTTGGTGTTTTTGACATGTTTCTTCGGACACCGCTGGCCGCACTGCGCGCGTCGCTGAACATTGACATTGTGGCGGCAGGGCGGGGGGGGTAGAACAAACTTGCTCTTGATTTCGAGGCGGATGTTCTGGTTCCCGATTGCTGATGCGGCTTTGCGTGATGACCTTGGCAATCGACTGATCCTGCTGCCTTTGTTGACATGTCACTCTCACCGCGCATCTGCACATCGGGTCGCTGAGTCCTGCCCATCCGCTATTTCCGTGAATGCCTCTGCGGAGCTCCGTGGGGTGTCGAGGACACGTTGCATTGATTGACCCAGTGGGCCAACACGGTTTGGGAAGCGGCCAAGACAGCCGCGATGGCAGCGGAAGCAGCGCGAAGGAGGAGTAACGCCACCAGGCCCTGTCTGCTGTCTCCCCCGTTGCTCTCCCGTCTCGCTCCTGCCCCCACTGACCGCGCAAGAAACCACCGCAACCCGAAGTTTTGGACGTCATTTAAATTCTGTTTTTTGTCGGTCGTTTCTGCGTTGCGGCTGTCGTTGGCGAGTGTTGCGGGTTTGACGCAACGCTCCTTCGAAAGGTTGCAGCCTGGCCACTTGCGGCGGTTTTCCCGTGGAGATTCCCTTCAATGTGCTTTTGCGAGGCTGAGTGTGGATCGCGCGCGGCGGGGCCCCTTTGCCACAACCCATGCGCGCGCTGATCAGGGGAGGTCGTGGTAGTAGAAATGTGGTCGCTGCGGCATTGCAGCACTATGGTTAAGGCGGCGCGTAACGCCAGTTTCGCATGTTAGCTGCGCATGTCTTGCATGGGCGGATTGCCCCCGCGCAGCGATGCTTCGCGCGGCGTGATTGCGCCGATTTTGGGCGACGATGCGCTCGTTCATGCGGGCAGAGCGCCTCCGCGTGGCGAGGCCTCATGTAGTGTCTAGCATGCCGCCAAGTTTGTTCCTCCTGTGGTATCGCCCTCCCCGCCCCGCTTCCCTTCTAGGCGACGCGCCAAAACATAGGAATGTCGTTCTTTCTGTTGTGTTCAGCGCTTGCGCTTGCCACGTTCGTTTGGGCGGTGATCATTTGTGGTTCGCCTTTCGCCCGGCCTCTTCCCTTTGCCCTGCCCTTCCCTCTCATCGCATTGTTTGCTTTGAGTTTTCTCACTGCGCGCATCTCAAAATGGAGAGCCCGGTCGTCTCGTGGAGAGCGCGACTTCGTGGACAAGTCATACGCACTGCGGTTGCGTGTGAAGAACCAGGCGCTCGCGTTATGCCGATTTGTTCGCAGCACGTCCCGCGCTTTGCGATTGCGCATGTTTCGGCGCGGTGAGCTCTAGAGCATCGCCAAGAAAACCGTACTACGCGACAGATCGTCGCCCATGCCCGTGCAATGGCCGCAACATGTGACACGCTGATCCACGTCGTTTCGGGGCGCACTCCTTCGTTTTCGTTGTCGTCCCCCCCACTCTTCCGCCCCCCCGTCGTGAGTCCCCATTCTGCGTCCGTTGTTCTTGCCTCTCTTTGGTCTCTCACGGGTTACTCTCAGGCCGCATTGGGCTTGTCACGAGGTCCTGTTGGGTTGTCTTGGGGGCCTTTTGGGGCACTCTTGGGCCGTTCTCTGGCTCAGTGGAACACTTCGGGGCCATCGTGGGCCGTCGTGAGCTCCCCTGGGTGTCAGCTGGTGCCGTCTGGGGTTCTGCTCGCCTCCATGGCCTGTTTCTTGGGCTTGCTTGCGGATTAGCGGATGCAGTGCAGGTGCGGCGGTGACGGCATCAGAGTCGCGTTCAGGTCTCGGCTGAACAGTTGCGTCGCGTTTCCAAGTGGGGTGGCTAGTTGAGGGCCCCCGACGGTCACTCTGGGGAGTTTGAATTTTGGGTCCCCCCGCTCCAAGAAAACATGGTGGACGTAAGGAACCTTCGGGTTCCTTGATAAATCCCCCTCTGG